CGTAATTCGCATAACGGCTCCCCCCCTTTCAAAATCCTGGCTACGTCCCTGCAAAAGATAGGGAGAAGAGATTAAAAAAAATAATCAGATGTGATAGGACAGGATGGGATGAGAAGAGACAAGACAAGATATGATATGTCTAAGATGAGATAAGATAGGATTCACAGTATTCCCAGTTCAACACGGAAAAAACGATAGCCATACAAAGATCCGATAGGTCCAGCTACGCGAAAATACTAATTTTAAAGTTAATTTAAACGATATTACTAATTTAAAAACTATGACTAATATCTGGTTGTAAAATATTTATAATTAAAATATGTAGAAAATATGGTTTTAACGAAAAAGAATGACAAGCCCTAAGCTTTGCGAGGTAATATGCACAACGATTTATAGGCAATACTAACTGGTAATATTTAACTGCATACTTACCTGTAATGTATAGATGTCTCGACTACAGAACAACAATCAATGAGCGCTCTTTGTTAAAATCGGTTGCTACGTTTTAAGACCACTAAGGAAATCAGTTTATTATTCAAATTTGTTCAACAAATGTTAAAGCGCCTAAAGTTAGATCCGGGTTACAGGTCTAGTAGAGGAAGCCAATCCCAGGAACGTTTTGCGCATTACAGGAACTATTGGTGTTAAAAGATTAATATTTTATGGGAGGTAAAGTTCTTCTAAACTTCTAGTCACCGATCTCCAGCCTCGTCCACTTCAGTCAGAGGGGAAATATATAAAAAAATAATAATTATAATAATTATTATTTTACTCATTAAAATATGTTTGGATGAGATGTTATTGTAGTTTTACAAAAACAAAGTGGACGATTTGAAATGTTTTGAGTCTATTTTGATGATTCTAGGTTTCGGATATACATAAGGATCAGATAGCAACATGAAATCCAGTGCAGTGTAAAAGTGGGTGACTCATAAATATTCATAATGTTGTTAAAACTGCACCTCCCTATATATTTTTTTTATCTCGGTTAATCCATGAAGGTATTAGTGACTGATACATCGATGGTTAATCAAAAAACCTCTTAAACATATTAATTGATAACCACATTATTTATTTATTTATCTATATTATTCTGTAGTACTATATTTGTTATATTAAAAATATTACAGTACTTTATTATAATATAGATAAATGACAAGGAGTTTATAGTTTATGCAACAAACTGTCGATATTCAAGTGATCTGAATGACCAGCAGTAGCTGGGTGGTTCACCCAGCTACATTTATCTTTTTAGCTTTTTTAAATAGTTTTACTATGTTTATTTTTATTAGTATGTTATTATTATTGCTGTTGTAATATTACTAACATATATATGTTTTATTACGTGGATACTATGACAAAAAATATTGCATTAAATAAATAAACAATTAAACAATAGAATTTAAAAAATACAATAATTCTAATTATGTAGGCATATATCTCTCTCCACGGTTGCCTGATGCATAGTCTTTATTTATTTATTTATCTATATTATACTGTAGTACTATATTTGTTATATTAAAAATATTACAGTACTTTATTATAATATAGATAAATGACAAGGAGTTTATAGTTTATGCAACAAACTGTCGATATTCAAGTGATCTGAATGACCAGCAGTAGCTGGGTGGTTCACCCAGCTACATTTATCTTTTTAGCTTTTTTAAATAGTTTTACTATGTTTATTTTTATTAGTATGTTATTATTATTGCTGATGTAATATTACTAACATATATATGTTTTATTACGTGGATACTATGACAAAAAATATTGCATTAAATAATAAAACAATAGAATTTAAAAAATACAATAATTCTAATAATGTAGGCATATATCTCTCTCCACGGTTGCCTGATGCATAGTCTTTGGAGACTGGGCTGCCGATGATGGTGGTTTGTGTTCTAACAAATTAAGGTTGAATTATAAGTTCTAATTGGAATTCGCACAGAAGAATTTTGAAGACGGCAGCCATGGCCAACAATAAAGCTTTATTTCAAATCTTAGTATTCAAGTTCTACTGAAGTACTATTGACTAAATCCCCTTTTCCGTTGAATAGCATCCTAGGGTAAAAGCCGCTTTATAATTATCGTCATTATTACTGATCATATATTGTTATCATTTCATTTTATTTTATTTCACACAAAGCAAAAATACATTATAAAATTCTTCAGAAAAGTAAATAAATAACAAGGACAATGTAATATAAGTATGTAATAATAGCAAATTGATAATAAAAATTACAGTAAATAGCAATAGATGAAGATAATGAAATTAATAATAACAACAACAATAACAATAACAATAACAATAATAATAATAATAATAATAATAATAATAATAATAATAATAATAATAAATCATCTTCATCGTCGTCGATGTTCCAATGGAAATAGTTTGTTAGAATGGCTTTGTGATTTAAAGTTGTTATCAAACCATATTCCGTTGACAATACAATGCAATAAACGCCAACAAAGCCGCACCTTTTAATAAAAGCAACCTTGGTTGTTTAAAGGGAAATTATACTTTGGATTTCTTACATGGGAACCCGCTATAGCATACAAGAAAATATGTAGAAAACTTGTTAACCTCGGGAGCTGCAGTGAAGTAGTAATGTGCAACCCTATGTTTGTATTAAGATATAGGGATTAAAAAAAAACTCTTAACTAAACCGTCTTGCGGTAAAGCTATGATTATTAATTATACATTTTCCATAGACAACATAAGGTCCAGGATTCAAAGTGTAAAAAAAAAGTTGCCCTAACCGGGGATACAGTACATAGGCCTACACACATATAAACAAAAATAAGTACACACACACACCCACACACACACACACACATACATACATACACACATACATACATACATACATACATCCATACATACAAAAATACACCCATATATACATCATTACATACCATTTAGTTGTTGAACTTTGATACGAATTATAAAATCATGTTCCTCTATATTTGAGCACAGTATTATATTATTGTATTATCTATTTGTACGGTAGGCCCTATTCAACCACTGGATCGCGGGCCAACTTGGAGCCGTTAAAGATTTTGATCTGACCCACGCAACATTGCTAAAAAAATAAATCGTTTTTAGTTTTCTGTTGTTCTAGCATTGTTAACAAGAGTTTTGCTTTTTCTGAGTGTAGCTCATTGTGTCTAGTGGTATAGAGTACTGACATGGGGAGGAGGGGAATGATGGTGAATAATGGATTAGGCCCTAAGTACGGTAGGGGGCTGATATGATTCGACGATTAACCATTTGCGGCGCCAGCAGGCTCGCCACCAAGTTATTTTGTTGAAAACATACTTTTACAGTCTGAGTAGTGACGTATCTGAAGTCTTGAAATGGGGGGTGCTGATGGAGGGGTGCGAAGGTGAAGACGGTGAGCGGCTCGATGATCCCCAAAATAAGTCGATTTCAGGCGATTTTTAACTACTTGACCGTGATTTTTTTGGGAGGGGGCGACTGCGAGGGGGGAGGGGGAAGTAATTTTTGGAGGTGCGTGCGCCCTTAGCCCTAAACCCGGGACTGAGGTAGCCTAAATGGGGCCCTTTTTGGGGGAATCGTACTCCTTATCGGGGAAATTCCAGCACTGGCATTGTTTTTAACTTCTTAGTACATGAGTGGCGAGGAAGAAAAGAAATTTATATTCAAATAAGTCTGAGAGTACCATTTCCGACCGTCTAGAGGTGCCATCATACGTTTTCTTTCCTCAGCCTCAGCCATAGTGGGGCTGTGAAAGTGTTTCCCTGCCTCCTCCTATTTCGAATCTACTGCTATAGAAAAGAATGGGTGGGGCTGACATTGAAAATATGGACGTGCACAATTGATGTCGGCCC